TTATATGGTAAACAATAATAATTTCTCAATTACGACTGAATACGTTTTCAACGTGAAAAAAACGTAACCGCATATGAATAAAAAAAAAATGCTAGTTCTTCATCACACCTATGTTTATAATTATACACAAAAATATTGTATGAATTCCGAAGCAACAATTTTACTAATATAAGTCTATGTTTTATTTTATATTTAATTTTTTTTGTGTCTAGGTTTGTGATAGCACGTCCTGACAAACAACCTGCTTACAAACGTAATTTAAATGTGTATGAGGTAACACTACATGCTGCATCAGTAAGGTTTACAGAATTAAATGTTCATTACTCATCCCCCGTAGGTGATAGCGTGATAATATGTAGCCTATGTGATGAACCGACCTGTCAGTTATGTTCATGCAAAATTTCAATTTAATCCATGCAGAACTTTTTGAGTTTATCCGTAACAAACATACAGACAAACAGACAAACAGACAAACAGACAAAAATTCTAAAAACCATATTTTTGGCTTCAGTATCGATTGTACATCACGCCCCAAGTATTATTTCAAAAATATATTCAATGTACAGTTTTGACTTTCCTACGATTTTATTATATGTATAGATAAACATATAAATTAAATTTTTAAATATTTCTTGAATAATATAATAAAATATTTATAATAAAAAAAATTAAATAAAAAGTGTCTCACCGGTATCGGGAACAGGGTCTAGCTATCGGCGACCAGGGCTCCAGAGAAAGGAACCTCCTGACAACGAGCCGTGTCCAGGAGTACCACTTTCTGAATCAAGCCCTTGATCCAGCCACCCAACGAGAGCCTCCTAAGGTGTTGGTCGAGGCTCTTAGCTATTAAGCCATTGGCTGACACGACTATCGGTACAATGATAGCCGAATCATAATATTATTATTATGGAACTGGTGTCAATGTTAATAGCCAAATCATTTTCAATCGCCTGTACCATCATTGTCTATGCATTTGTATAGCCTTGTAGCCTTGTTATAGGTTATCTATGACGCCATATCAAGATTAATCTTAGCGCACATTGATGTCAGCTACACTCCAGGGAAATTCATTCTGAATAATGTGTAAACCAAGTTACTATGGTAACATTGCCATATTGATAACCTTTATTTCAAGGATATAAGGTTGGTTTTTGAATATTATATGGTTGAATTTTGGCTGTATTTTTTTGTTATGGTTGGAGTGATAATTCTTAGGTGTGGAACGTTTTTTTTTTATATTAGCTTCTGTTTTATGGCTAAGGAGATTTTTATAGGTGATTTCGAATCGTTGCTCGTTGCTAGTTGTCTTAAGATCTTGTCTTCAATTGATAGAATTACCAGCCAGGTCATAAAACTCTGAATTAGAATTAGTTTTTTCACATATATTTTAATAAATATCTTTGTATTTACATCGTGGATGCTCAATAAATGTCTTTTAACTTCCATTACAATAAATATCATTTCAGTGTTAAATAAACATAAATACTTGTTGCATAAAAACTTCGTGGTACAAACCTCTTTACATTTTCCCAACGCCTCTTCACCCTGAAGCACTATTTCCCGCCATTTTCTTACTCGGCCAGCGTAAAACCGTTAACAATACACAATTACACTTAATTCAACTCGGTTCTCCATTTAAAAAGATTTACAACATGGCCGCTTTGTCAGTCTATTCCAAGGACTAATTAAATTTGCAATCGTAAAGGAATAATTGTTTATTTCCAGAAGTAAACATTGTTTTGTATTTTGTTTGATAAAACTTAAAAGATAAATAACACTTGAATTGTATTATATTTTTAGGGGTAGATTGGCAAAAAAGAGTTACTATTTCGGTCGATCGGCAAACGAGCTCACGGATCACCTGATGTTAAGCAACCGGTGCTGCCCATCGACTCCCATAACACCAAGGAACTGCGCTGCCGGGTTCTTTGTGAGTTATGAAGGATAGGGATAGGGGATTCAGAGATTGAGAATGGCGACGGAAAGATTAGGCTTCCGTTAACCTACCTCACAAGGCGAAACACAAATAAAAGTGCCAAAGTGTCACGCCAATATCTTTGTAAGGTCGTGGTATCACTCCAGTCAAGCCTCAACTCCTGGCCCATTCATGCCGAAGTCTGCTTCTCACACAATTTTATAAAAGTACATTTAAAATGTAATAATACGAAATGATTTTATAATCAGAATAGCTGCAAGTAATTCAGAGAAAAGCTTTCTTCTTCAGTAAGTAGGTAACCGCGAAATAAATTTGCATTTAATGGCGGAATGTATGTAAATTATAATGTACGTACGATGTATCACGCCTCATGCATTCTGAATATATTAACCGTTTTATTGATTCTTTTATTTTAAACAACTATAGTGTTTAGTAATTAATTCTAGGTGCAATTTATAAACAATATACTTAATAATTATTTAAATTCTCATTTATTAGTAATATAACAATTATACAACTCCTCATGTAGGAAGTTCGTCAGTTTTTCCAAGCTTCAGCACGAGTAGGTCGGCTCAACCGAAATGATACCACGGTCTCATAGAAAACCGACATGACACAACCAAAGCGTTGTGTTTCGCCGTGTGAATAAGGTTACAAGTGGTCCAATGATCCTTCCCCTCTCCTAATTCCTCCCCAATCCCTAAATATCCAAATCACTAATCCCTAATCCCTAATCCCTAATCCCCAACAGGTCGGCAATGCACTCGTAACTTATGAGTTACGAGTGCGTTACAACATATTATGTGTTGTTGCGGGTGTCCATGGTCGGTGCAGACTGCTTACCATCAGCTAATCCGTCTGCTCGTTTGACATCCTATTACATAAAAAACCAAGAGTCACTCTAACCTCTGCGGTTTGGATGATGGTCTCAGCTGGCTATAATATTCAATAGTGCATTTACAACCATTAAACAAACGAGACAGTTGATTGATCGATGAATCATGACATTTAATTGCATTTACTGTAGGCTCAAAATCGTTTGCAAATTGCAAAGAAGCCATTACAAGCATTCATTTAATTTGCATTGTATGTGGGTTCGAACATGTGTTAAAAAGGGTTTTACTTTAAATTTTACTTGTAGTTAAAGAGGTCTTTGTTAATATTAATCTTTATTACTTAATACATATAAATAAATACAGAATTTATGTAGTAGTTAAGTAGAGTAATTTACACTTTCCCATAAAAAGTTTAGGTTCTTTTATTAATTTACAGCTTTACAGCTTACAAAAATATGTACTTGTTACGTTACATTTATTTTATTTTCTGCCATTAGCTAAGCCGAAGTTAAGAGATATGCACAGAATAAATTCTGGAGAGTTGTTTTAAGTCCCATCAATAAAGGAAAGAACAGGTACTAGCTCATTAAAAAAACAATTTGAATACTCTCGACAATATATTGTCAGAAACAAAAAAAAAAAGTCCAAGAAGCCAATCACAAAACTTAATATACATATATACTTTGAAGTTTTCTAAAATCTTACCTACCATCCATTGAGACTTTCAATTCAAAACCAAATCATCATCATCTTCCTGCCCTTTTCCCGTTTTATTTGGGGTCGGCGCAATATGTTTTCTTCTTCCATTCTGTCCTGTCACCCGTCACGCTATCACTTAACTCCTCTGTCTTCCATATCACTTCTCACACAATCCATCCATATTTACTTTGGTCTCCCTTTCCCTCTCCATCCATCCACATTTATATAGGTATGTATTTATCTTTAATTCAAAAGCAAATAAAAAAATTAAGCTTTTTAAACACAGCCATAGCAGTCTTTACTTCCAAGTAATGAATACTTTTCTGAAAGAAATCTTTAGCGTTCGCGCTGGCTCCTTCAGAGATTCCGTATTCTAAACTATTTATAACAGTTTAATATTTTGTATGCTTACTACAGCTTAAAATATTTTTATAGTAAGAAAGTATTAAAGGTCTTTCAAAGTTATATTTTATTTTCCGGGCTTTTACGCTACTTACATTTTATATTTACTAGACTAAATAGTTTTACAATCTGCGTGATTTTCAAGACAAATAATACCTTTGGCCAACAAGATAGGGAAATGTTATTAAGGAGTGTAATAAATTTTAGGGAATATATCATGAAGTCTTAAATCTCATGACCGTCACTTCTGTAGCAAAATAACTTTAAATTAAAATGTTGAAAATATTTTAAACTGATTTATAAGTAATCAGAAAGTAAGTTTTATGTGTATTTTTTTTAATTCACATTAATTGTTCATTTGATTCTTACTGTACTTACAATTAACGTTTTCATCCTTTTTCTTTAAAAATTATCCTATATAATTATATATATTAAGTCGTTAATAAATTATTATAACAAAGTATAGAATACGACTGTTAAAAACCGTACGGAAAATCGTTATAAATGGAGGAAGGCAAGTATAGACGTCAACTGCAGTGAAATGCGGAACGAAGAAAAAAACGTTAGTTTTGCAATTAGTGCATCTTAAAATAGGTTGATTGGGCTTTGTTGTCCAAGCCTTTGCTTCCACCATTTGCACCAGTGTTTTGTTTACTATTGTCACTGAAAATACAATGTTTTTCAGTTAAATTGCTGAGGTAGCGACGTACAAACATACCTATTACCTAACAAAGTTTTTATTCTACTAACTGTGGCAGACTTTTTTATGCATCACTCCATTTGAAGAATAAGATACATTTTTTCATCATCATCATCAGCCTATAAGTGCCCACTGCTGAGCAAAAGCCGCTTCTCACACGGAGAAGGTTAGAACATTAATCACCACGCTTCCTCAATGCAGGTTGGCGATTTCAAACTTATAATTAGAAATTATAAGTCCAGGTTTCCTCACGATGTTTAGCCGGGGCTGCGGGGTAAGCGTAATGAGGCACCGCAACCTCGGCCCAGAGCAGGAGAAGGAACGAAAGGGTTTTTAGTCAGTAAGAGTCTGACACTCTCTTTCGCCTTACCCTGGGCGGGAGAAGTCATTGGATGATTTTCCCTGACAAAAAAAAAGTTTCCTCACGATGTTTTCCTTCAGCGCATGTCAGTGGTGTCTCAATAATCATAGAAAGTACACAAAACTCGGAAAAAATCACATACGTACTTTCCGGGTTTCGAACTCCGGGCCACCGCGACGTTTTTTTAATCATCATCATGATAATCTCTTATTTTGTCCACAGGCGGCGCCAATTTCGTTAATCCATACGTCAGTGAAGAGCGCGTTGACCTTAACCAAGTATGGGTGGAGATTCCTTCAACACTCGTGGCTTTAGGAGGCGACGTGCACATTCGAGTCCACGGCACAACCGGAGCAGGCCTCAAGGTCCGCATCGCGCGAGAAGACGATGACGGACGAGCACTGCTCGCTACCATGCCCCTAGCACTAGACTCAGAAAACCGCATGACCTTACCCTGCGGCTACTTCTCTAGAGGAGGCACCTACTATCTAGAAATAATTTCAGATAAGGATCCCTATTTACCAGATTACGAGAATACGACAGAAGGGAAGAGTGATGTGGAAAACAGCAACAAGGTCAAGAGAGATGTTGGTGATGGTAGTCTGATGGAGACTGGTGATAGTGTGGTGAAGTCTTGGAAGTTTGACGTTATGTGGCCGACAGCAAACCTGGACGTGACTCCAGAACAGATTCAGACATACCCTGAGAGGCAGGTGATGGCTATACTAGAGTTTCCCAGGGTCGTGTGTGCTCCTATTGAGTCGGGTGCAGATTTTTGGCTGGAGCTCCTGTATTGTGGGCATTCCAGCGGTGGAGCTGTTCTGTGTGATGGCAAGAACACTAGCTCCCATGCTCACGTTTTGTATTCTGAACAGGTAAGATTTAAAAACCATTAACTTCATTACAATTTTAGCAAAAATTTTCTCTTAGTCGCTCTTTATTCTAATGAACGAAGCTTCAACGAGTAAATATATTAAGACTTAATTTCTTCTAACAAAGGTCTCCATGCTAGTAATATTCTATATAAATTTCTACATTCGTTCCACTTAAAATAATATTTATTTGCAGATGCATGGCTTCCCTGGTCGTCGGACGATGACCCTGCGCTGTGAACTCTTTGGTCAGGCTGGAGACTATGCTCTCACACTCAGGCCAGCTGCGGCTGCAGGGCCACAGGATTTAGCCACCGCTTTTATCAAGGTAAGTGATGGCTCAATAATACCTATAATAGGCTTCTATATGAAAACACATGAAGGTGAAACTTTCGATATAAAGTAATGCTAAGTTGAGCACATATACAAGTACTAGCCCCTACCAGCAGTTTCGTTCAGGTTAAAAACTAGTTTACACTAGGATTTTCTCCTGTGTCGTGGGTACGTTTACAAATACACAATTTCACATAGGTACACATCACACCCAGACCCGGAACAACAATTTGTGGATCACACAAAGAGTTGTTGTTGTATGTTTTATAGGATGGATATCCTATAAAAACTTTGCGTTTACGATACTCATATTAGTAGGATTCGGTTGTAAACAGCACTTAAGTGGAACGCACTTTGTTACACACCTTATATACAGAACTTAAAATAGGTACCATTATTTTATAAAGTACTTAAATACTAAAGCACTAAAGCGATGTCTTTTAAACATTTATGAAGTGGACTGAAACTTGATAATATTGATAACAATATCACAAGATTTTAAAGTTACTGTTACAATACAACTAAATAAAATTTACGTTTAAAGTTGATCCTCTTCCAAAATTGTTTTCAGAATTTTGTATAACGCAAACATTTTTAATTATTTGTGAAAAATGGTTTGTTGGATGTAATCAAAATGGTTCCCGTCTGACTTCCACTCTCATAAAAAAGCCTTTTTCAAATGAACACTTCCATAAATATTTACAGAGGCACAGGTTAACAGGATGGCCACGAGACGCGGAGGTCGGAGGGACTATCTAAATATTGAGCTTTATGAAAACACCGGAATCTTTACCTAGATATTAGTGTTCTACTGTTCTCACATAATAGAATCGACTAAATGATGTAACAAAGAAATGAATTGTGACTGATTGAAAAAGAGGAACCATGGAGTTTCTTGCTCGTTCTTCTCCATTGGAATGTATACTTTAAAACGAGTAAATAACTTCACTAGAAGACATACCGACAGACTAACGCACGTAAAGTTGAACATAATGATATTTTGTTTGTTTGACGTTCAAAAGTGCCTTTTGTAGTATATTTGATTTAACTTTGACACCGAACCCAATTACTTGTACTCACACAGTAACTTTTCCTTGACTATTTTTGGATCAAAATATAAAAGAATTATGACGAATAAATATATCAATAATTTTGTAAATTGATTTCTGAATTGACAGCCATTATTTAAAAACCAAGAGGACATTTTAAAAGAAAATATTATAAATAGCTTATGCTACGATCATTATCTGATATCAGAATTTACCGATCACACTACATGAAAATATAAAACCACTTACACTTCAATACTCTTAACGAGAGAATAAAATAACTATCTATGTATTAATACTGTAAAAGCGTCCAAATTTTCCTTTCCTCTGTTGTGGTGAGCGTATCGCTTCCATATTTTATTGAACACCTGGCTAAAGATGTATGGAGATAGATAATTCTCACAAAACAAGCTGAAAGGAGTCCCGCTGATAGAGATTGATAGTAGATTGTCAGCGCTCTCGGTTTTATATTTTAATTTTAAATGCGAAAGGTTTATATTTGAATTTGTTTGATAAATGGCTTTTGATTTGCATATTATCTCTAATGGCTTCTGTTTTATGAAATAAATATTTATTTATTTTAACTTGCTTTGCATGATATAACGTCTAAAGAATTTCAATCGTGTTTGATTTACTTCCAACGTCAAATTTTTAGTGTGAGAGAAAAAAGCTTAAGCACAAATGGGTCTGTTTGACTCGAGTGATATCACGATCTCACGGAAAACCGGCGTGAAATAACTACAGCATTGTGTTTCGCCATGTGAGCGAGGTTACTGGAGGCCCAATCCAATCTCCAATTCCCTAATTCCCAAACGGCTGGCAACGCACTTCTAATTCTTCTGGTTTTCCGAGTGTTCATGGGTGGCGCCATCTGAAAATAGGTCCAGTTCGTTTGTCAACCTACCACTTAAAAGAAAAATAATCCGTTAAATTTTAAATTCCTATGGAAAAGTACGAGCGAGAAATTACATGGTTACTCTGCTTCGTTTTGGAATGCTTAATATTTATGAGGCAATTTCAGTTACTTAATTATTTTTCAACAAGTTTTATGTTTATTTTTAAGTTATTTTGTAGCAAGCATAATAATTTAATTCGCAAAACTATCTAGGTATTTTAATGCTTTTTGAAATCTGAAGTGCGGAAATATTTCAAACAGAATTGAAGTTGAAATATTTGTAAAGAGATTCAGTGAATATTAAAATACATTCAGTATCAATAAAGTTGCTCGACAATAGATCATGATAACTAAATTAATATTATGTCAAAGGTCGTGTTTGATCGATAACAAACACGAGAGAACATCGCAGAGCCTATCAAGAATTCGTAGAAAATCTCCCTCATTTCAAGTTTCAAATATATTCCAAAGTCTTTGTCCTCGTGATTCGAGCTCAAATTAACTCGGGAAGATTTCCGTTTGATCTCAATTGAGAAACAGTATTTTAACAATACTGTCTTTTTATTTTTATTAACATAGAAAGTTTACAAAATCTGAAGAGTCTCTGTGGTTAAGTAGATTTCTAAACTTTTTGTAGGTATTATTTATCAATCGAGTTTGCTTATTCCTTTAACGTACTTGTTGTTTTATTTTCTTTCTATGAAAATAACACCAGTCTGTTTCTCTTGCTAAACAAGGTATCATAGGTGAGCGCCTAATAGAATGCTAATTTTAACATCTAAGTTAGAAATAATGACAAATAAATATAATGCTTCAGAAAGGCAGATGAGGGAATACGTGTTGGCAATGAATGAGTTGGTGAGTTCGCAGGAGAAACAGAGAATATGCGATACCTGCACGAGAGTTAATATGTTTGTTTTCAAATCATTTCTGTAGAACTCTCGAAGTAAGATAATCTTGTGGTAGCATTCAGCGCATCAGCCTAAACCTACTACTAACTGACTAGGGACTAAAGATTTGAGCATTGATGTCCAAGATTCGAATGACGGCTTATTTCAGACTTTATGACTTTGGCTTTCTTCACAATGTTTTTCTTCGTCGTTTATCATCAATGCTTTAAAATATTCTTTAAGTTAGTTCAGTAGGTATAATGCCAATGCCAATTTATGTAATAAATAAGAACACACCTACGTTGTGTTTCATTGCAACTGTACCTCAGGACACAAGTAAAGAATGATTTGATGGCGAACAAAAACAAATATTGGCAACTAAAAACAAATTTTACCCTCGTATTCTGTAATCTATTACGAGCAAACTTTTGTCCGCGTGGTATGTTGATAAAAAAATTGTTAATCCAGTATATTATAACCTATACCAAATATCAACCAAATCGGTCTAGCCTTTTGTGTGTGAAAAAATAAGAAACATATACCCATACTTCTCGTAAACTTTCACATTTATAATATTAGTAAGTAGGACTGAGCACTGACCGTAACCTTGTCGAAAAGCAGGAAAAACATTCTATTTTCATTTTTAAGATTGCCGAGTGGGAAATGATAATATTTTACAACAGTCGTTACTCAAACTTTGGTGTTACAATCTACATAAAAGTTTATGTGTAATAAATGGCTGTTTAAGTGTTGTATTCCATTATTGAGCGCCAACAGCCTTTTTATGGGGAAAATTTTTATCTATTTGTATACTTACAGTTTCTTTAAATATAAGAACATTGAATTTGTTGCTTAAATTTGCTTTAATTCTTGCTTTTATATTATGTTGTGGTATTGTGATTTGATACTTTCTTTTGATTATGACTTTGGATTCAGCTTTTTATGAGTTTTTTAAGTTGTTTTCCGTATTATTGATTTTATTAAAAAAGTAGGTCTCTTCATTCTTAATAACAATCTAGGTATTCAAATTCGCTAGTAAAGTTACTTACAATGTGGTAATTATTAGTCTCATTGCCAACTGTGGACAGAAAGATCTCAAAGTCAAATGATTTTGCAATCTCTTAGGTTAGAAACATACTTTTTGTGTGACGTGGCAAACACCCCGGTTTCATACATTCAACAGCACACGACATGCAAGATTGTCTCTTCTGTTTTTTGCGCGATATGATATGATTTTGGCTATTCATTGCTCTGTAGCTACTTTAAGACTTTCTTAATGTAAAAATACTTGAAGGTACATAAGATAGGAGTGAGGCGATTACAGAATTTCTTTCCATTTTCAAGCCATTAACCAATAAAGTGGTGTCCATTAGCGTAAAACCACTTTGCAGAAAGTAGTGCAGGAAGGTAATCTTGCTTTTTTATTTCCACTTGCCATGAAGTGGCTACGATTTACCTTTTTAAAACGAACGTTTCTACTGTCTTCTACTTTTGGTTTTTTACATTCGTTTGTATTGTAATGTGGGTTCGTCGACTTTATTGTTTAAACATTGTGTTTTAATATTGTTATTGTCATCTGTATATTGAGCTCAAGCTACCTGGTATTTAAGACTTAAGTTCGTGGAAGAAGAGCGAAGAGGCTTTTACTCCGCAGCTACCGAGCTAGCTGTGCAAACTAATAATAATAGTCATCTTCTTCATGTTCATCTACAACTCGATCATTCTTCTTTAGTTTCTGATGTGTGCGATGCAAATTCAGATTCGTCTAATTCGTCTGCCCATCCGAATTTTTCTGCATAACTATGGGAATAATGTTTTGATTGAACCAGTTGACCCCCTAGCAATTTGATGCAGATTGTACGATACCTACAGATACATGTATTAAGCTGATATTTTGGCCCAAAACCTTAATACAAATCTTTTTTCTTTTCCCCTACAGGCAGATTGGTCGGAGCAGTTCGTGCTAAACGTGCACGGAGGTTCCGTATTTCCATGCGGGGATGGAGTCAGGGTGTTGTTCCAATACCCTGAATGTGTGCTAGAGGGCGCTGATCGAGTCAGAGTGTTTGGGAGGGACGCTGATCGGTTGCGATATGTTGCTGAGAGGAGAGTTCGGAGGTTGGTTGTAATATAGTATTACATAATATTAAATCTTGTCGATGATTTTAAGGAGAAGAAACCTAAATATAGTCCAGTAAAAGAGTCTAGTACCGATGATGAATACGGAGAGAATTTTACTCCTGAAGTAAATAACAAGGTACCACAGCGTTCTATGTTTATATTGGTTTTGGAAACATTGTAAATCTTCTTACAAGTTATTAGTTGGAAGAAATGCTTTAATTTTTTTATAACTTTATACCATTGTTCCCATTATTGAGGCTAATGGAGACAATAAAACACCAATTTACAATATTTTGACTAACTTCCTTTCATTTTTCTATTTTATTTTTGTTTACTTTTAATAAAAACATTTCATTAGCTTTTGATACATCTATATTATCAAAGTGATAAAGGCTATTTTTGCGTGTATCCATACTAATATTATAAAGTTGAAGAGTATTTTGTTTGTTTGAACGTGCTGATCTCCGGAAGAACTGGTTCGAATTGAACAATTTTTTGTGTTCGTTAGTCCATTTATCGAAGGCTAAGGCTATAAAACATCACCCTTAGATCTGTAGGAGCAGCGGGTGAATCCAAGGCGAGAGTAGTTGAGTAGTAGTTATGTTTATAATTTGAATTAGTAACGTGAATTAATTCGTTAATACAAAACATACATCTGCATGTGTATAGTTTCTAATTTGCGGTTACAATAATCGGCTTATGTGACCACACGAATGAAGCAGGGATTACAATTTTGATCAATTCACCATTGAGCTTAGTATTGATAGTTTAGAGGGCAGCTTATAACGGTGAATGAATTAATTGTACCAGATACCAGTTTAATCGGAATTATTGGATATTGCAGGCTTATTCATACTGAATGGTTTCATAACGTTGATTATGACGTATTTGTTTATTACGCTGAATCGCCAGAAATAAGTAAGTTCTTTTCTTTTTTGGAAATTGTGATTAATGGGTTTTTGAGTAGTACAATACTTGGCAAAAAAAGGTGCGTTGCCGTCCTTTAGTGTTGTTAGAAATAATGTGTGTTTGCGTATATATAAAAACGTAAAATTAATGATGAATAATTTAAGTGTGGGAGAGCCATGCTTCGACGCGAATGGGTCGGCTCGACCGGAGTGATACCACGGCCTCACAGAAAACCGGCGTGAAACAACCACAGTGTTGTGTTTCGCCGTGTGAGTGAGGTTACCGGAGGCCCAATCCTTCCCCTTCCTAATCCCTCCCCAGTTCCTAAATCTCCAAATCCCAAATCCCTAAAAGATCGGCAACGCACTCGTAACTTCTCCGTTACGGGTGTCCATGGGCGGCGCTGATTGCTTACCATCAGGTAATCTGTCTGCTAGTTTGACGACCTATTACATAAAAAAAAACAATACAAATGTCTTCATTGAGCAATATATGTACATTACAACATATATTCAAATTCACTTAAACAAGGATTACATGCGCTATAAGTGACAAATTGAAGAATGAAGATGATAAAATAATATGGATCAATGTTAATCACTAAAAATATTTATTTATTTATTTATCCACTTTATACAGATACATGTAAAGGTGGACTTAATGCCTTAGGCATTGACAGTTGACCTTAAAATAAAAATATTATTAAGTACGCCAAAGAACATAAAATGAAAACATAAGCAATATTATATAAGTATTATTTAGGAATGTGTTAGTCTATGCAGGGAGCATTCATCTTAAGTTTTCCATGATTGTTAGCGTACATTAAAGTATATTATATTTGTAAAACCTCATTTTATGCAACCTCAGTTCTAAGAGACTAGATTCATGATAACAAAAGTTTGAACCTTAGTGCTTTTTGGTTGCTATTTAAGTGATAATCCTGTGTTTACTGTTAATATGATAAATGTAAGTAAATAATAAAAAAGTAATTAATTTCATCAAATTATAATTGGAAAATAATTTACATTAACAAACACACAACACAACAAACAAAAGATAAACTCCAATTAACAAAGTAATAAGTAGATTGATATTAATATCGATGTACCTAATGAGATGTAACCACGTTATCACTGTAATTAATGGTTTTAATTTATATGTTATACTGGCACCAGCGGCAGCCATTACAGCGAGTCCGGAATACGTCGGCGATAACATTAATTTCCCGCTAATGTCGTACGAGTTTGTTCAGCCATCTTCTTTCATCCGTTTTATTTAATAAGCAAGAAATTACCTTTGGCATATTAATATGTACAATTATATATAGAAAACTGGCAGACCCAGTCACGCGTTGCTGTGGTTAAGGTAAATAATATTGTGACTATAAATTGAGATGTAAGCTGTCTTATCTTTCAAGTTAGATGAAAATGCACACGGAATGCAAATCATATTTTAAATCGGATTGGTACTTTAGGAGTCCATCGCAGACAAACACGTGACACGAAATCTATATCTATACTAATATTATAGACAAGTAATTTGTAAGTTTGTATGTATTTAAGTGTGGGAGAGCCATGCTTCAGCACGAATGGGTGGGAATGGTTCGGAATGAATGGGAGCCGAACTGCGGGCTAAACCGCGCGAGAATAGCTACTTTTTTAATATAAACATATACATAAACATATACGATTTGTGGTAAGCAATCAGCGCTGCCCATGGACCACTCATAATATCAAAGGAGTTAGTACAAATGTATTGCCGGCCTCTTGTAGGTTATAAAGGATTTAAAGATAGGGGATTTGAGGATTAAGTATGAGGAGGGAAAAGATTGGGCCTCCGGTAACCTCACCCACATAGCGATACACAACGTAAGTGTTGCTTCACGCCGGTTTTCTGTGAGACCGTGGTATCACTCCGGTCGAACCTCCTAACATAACAAACTCCTAGTTTTTGATAGTTTAAAAGTGTCATGAAAACATAAACATATAAAAAAAAAACTATTTAATTCCCTAAGAAAGGAAATTACTAATAACTTCCAAATCGTTATATATTTATAAGTTACTAACTACTATCTCGCGGTTTCTCCCGCTGCTCGGCTCCATTTAATCTTAGCGTGATGTTTTATAGCCTATAGCACTCAGGAACATTGTAGCTATCTATCAGTGAAAGAATTTTATCAATCCGACCGCTGCAGAGCGGTTGCACAGATTACCCCCTACATACAAACTTACAAAATTTTACCTCTTTATAATATTAGTATAGATTGAATTCATATCATTCTCACAAACTATCACATTTATAAATTAGTAGGAAAGTAGGATTTGTAATGGTATTCTTGTTACAGAGGTCAACACACAGTGTCATTTGACTGCCGGCTGTTCAGCGAGCGTTATCCGGAATATTGTTTCGTGTACGTCTCACAAGCTGTGACGGGCGCCGTCGCTGACGTTAGAATGGACTGTCTACCTACATTGCCGCTCTCAGGTAAGAACCTATGTAATTATAAACTTTTAATCGAAATTATTAATGTATTTGTTTAATTTGTGTTGATTGCTAGTCACCGATATAAGTTGGGGTTCCCGGGTCCAAAACTCAAAATTTGTTTAGTAGTCAGTTATTAGAAAATTGCCCACTATTAGTAGATACAAAATTTGTTATTTAACGTAACTAAAATAGTGGGTGCTACATTACACCTTACTCTTACTAGATCAACAAGAATTGAAACAATTTACATACCTCCGCAGCCAAGACACCCATTATAACTTTAAACCAGTAGGAATTTTCTCAGGTTTATCACGAGATAATGTTCTTTTTTTCAAAAGAGGTGATCTTAAGTTACGCTTTTTAAGTTGGTTCTTTATGATAGCACATAGGTTGGATTTTTATTGTTGTATAGCAATAGATTAGAACACATACTTCACAATTACTCTTTAACCTTCTTAAAGGTAAAAAGCCATCCTTCGTATGATATGAATGTATGACTAAAACTTATTAAACAAGTAAATCCAGGAAGAACAGAAACTTAGCCACAGTTTGATCGTGACAGTAATTCAATAGATTATTATGAATAGCGATGAGTAAGCCGGAGCTATTACAAACTCCTAACTACGCGGTAATTTGACGAAACTTTGTTATAAATGAAAACAATGTTACCATGTAACTGGGTAAGATTAAAGAGCTATTTAGATAAAATGTGTGGGAGAGCCAAGCTTCGGCACGAATGGGTCGGCCCGACCGGAGTTATACCACGGCCTCACAGAATACCGGCGTGAAACAACCCACAGCGTTGTGTTTCGTGTGTCGCCTTGTGAGTGAGGTTACAGGAGGACCAATCCTTCCCCTCCCCCAATCCCTCCTCAATCCCTAAATCTTTAAATTCCTAATCCCTAATAGGTCGGCAATGCAGTCGTAACTCCTCAGTTTCGAGTGTCCATGGGTGGCGCTGATTGCTTACCATTAGGTAATCCGTCTGATAGTTTGCTGACCTATTACATAAAAAAAAATTGTATGTCAAACGGCAAACGGCAAAAGTTTTCTTGTTTGTATGGATCTCTAGTCAAAAGTAAATTCACATCATATCATCAGCCTTTAAGTCCTTACTGGTTGGCAAAGACCTTTTTGCACACTCTAGAGAAGTTGGGTGTCCGGTAACCTCATTCACACGGCGAAACACAACGCTGTGGGTTGTTTCACGCAGGTATTCTGTGAGGCCGTGGTATAACTCCGGTCGGGCCGACCCATTCGTGCCGAAGCTCGGCTCTCCCACACATTTTATCTGCGGTTGTTTCACGCTGATTTTCTGATATCAGTCCGATCGAGCTGACCCATTCGTGTCTCCCACAGTTCAAAATGCTCTTTCTTTATGGAACGAAAAGACAAAAGGATTTTAACGTTTATGTTCTAGGTAATAAAATAGTGTTTCTAAATTCCCAGCAGATGGTGGTGCTGGTGGTTGGGGGCAGTGGTCGGCATGGTCGGCGTGCCCTGCGCCGGCGCATTGCTCGACGCGCACGCGCAGTCGCCACCGCTTCTGCGATTCTCCTCCACCGGCATATGGTGCCAAGTTTTGTGAAGTAAGTGAAAAATTATCAAACAATTTTAATTACTAATATTGCTAGTAAATCTAAATTAATAACCTAAATACACTTGGTAAAGTAGTTCTTAGATAAAGTAGTTTTGAAGAAGACAAATTAGTGTTTTATTTTAACAGAAACCCGATAAATGCAGTTTCTATAAAAAAATAGGCGTTATTGGCAATGGCAAATAAGAAGCAGGCTATTTAGAAAATTGAAAACATGGTGATAAGATAGTATTGAAATTGTGATAGTGAACTTAATTAATTTTGCTATGTGGTGTTGGGTCGATTGCGTCGTCATGGCAACGCCGTTGAATACGTCGAAACCACACTGTAATAACAATTGTACAATACTTTTAATTTTTTTATAATGATGAAAAATGAAAAAGAGAAATAATTAAAACCATGTTCAAAACGATCGAAATAAAAATATTCAAATATTTTATTGCATGAACGTATTTTATTTGAATGATTTAATTGGCAGTATAATTTACCTGTGATACTACAACTTAGAAAATTCTCGGTAATTTTATTGATATCTAAATGTTTTTTTATACGTCGCTTGCCGTATGCCGCTTTATGAAATATATTTTCAGATTTTACCACAATACCGCGAGCTTTTTTCAGTGACTTTATTATTTAAGTTTTGTAATGATTTTCATAATATTATTTTTAATACGACACAAGGATTTTGGACACTTCTGTATGACGACTGTGTAGAACCACCTTAAGATTCTTGTGTTGCTTAGCAACACGGGTTTGTTAGCGAGTTGCTAAGTAGCACGTATCGTAGTAACAGCGTTGGTAATGTCTAACAAACTCATCGTTTTGTGACGTTTTTATTTATTTTGATAAATTGTTTATTTTATTTATATTTGCTCACAATGGCACCTAAAAAAGACAAAGGCAAAAAAGATGACGAAAAAGGCGGAGCATTCAATGAAGTGGAAAGGACGTTTATGGAACTTCAACTTACCGATTGTAACAGGAAAGTAGCCAGATTACGAAGCGCTGTAGAAGAATATGAGCTGCGTCTTGAAGAACTACAGAAAGCATATGATAAATTGGACGAGGATCGAGCAGATATTATCGCATACTTGAAAAAGACGTTAACTATCAAAAATGAAGAAAATGTGGAGTTGAAAGAAAAAGTTAAAGGGCTCGAGGAAATACGACAGATTGAAAATGATCGTTTTCAAGAAACTACCAGACAGTTAGAAAAAGATTTCGTTATAATGAAAGAACAACTTACTTCGGAAAACAAACTTTTGGCTGGTAAACTAAATACACTAGAAGAATTTAGAGCAATAAGAGATGATTTAATGAGAAAATTTGAAAATCAAGAACAGGAATTCAAAGATCAAGAATTGAAATACAAAAGATTAATCTACGACACTGAAAAGAAATTTGTGATTGGTAAAGACAACCTAAAAAAAGAAATGGAAGCCAGACTTTTGCAGCTTGCTCAAGATTTTCAAGATGCAACTGAACTGCGAGTGGCGGCGTCTACTCATAGAGTGATAAGAGAAAATATTGCGATCAATAATGAGTTAGAAAGTATCTTAGCTAATCAAGCAAAGTTAGCAGAACAAAATGAACATTTCAAAGAATTGATGAAAGCTGCACAAGTATCTAAAGAATTAGCCGAAGAAGAAAAAAATAAGGCAATTAGTAAAAGTGTTGTTCAACTCAAGGTTATTGAACAGTTAACAGCAGCATTTGAGTCGATCAAAAAAGAAAAATGCTTATATGAAAGAAGAAGTTATGATTTTGAAGCACAACGGGCGAAAATAGAAAGATTATCTAAAGAAAATGAGAATCTTAACCTTCAAATTCGCATTTTAGAACAAAACTTACATGCGAGGATGAGTGAACAAAATAAAGGTGTGGTAGAAGCTGAAAAGATGTCTAAAGAGCGTGAGATGCTCAGAAAAATTCTAAAAGAAGCAGCGTTTGCTATACGGACAGCATTAAAATTAGATGAATGGGCAGCTACGGACAAGGCACCAGAAGTGATGGATGGACGTGTGCTGTTGTCTCATTTACTAGAAATAGTATCACAATACCGGGAACTTGAGCAGGTAGAGTCTATAGGAACAATAGGATCATTCAGTCAAATTTATGAAGAAGGTGACCTTGGTTTCATACCAAAGCCAAGGAAAAAGCAAGGCTTGCCAGCGCAACAAACCGTTGCAACAGCCATTCCTACAAAAGTAACATCTGAAGCTGAAGTCGAAAGTTCAGTTCTTGCATCACACACGACCACTTCCTTTTCTGCTAGTATCGATACTATCCCTAGCATTAATATAATACCAACTATGTCAAAAAAAGATTTGGAAACAAAAGATGAAGGAAGTATTCAGTCTTTTATAGTTTCCTCAATTTCTGAAGAAGTTGTAGAAGAAGAAGAAGAGAAATATAAAGAAGATGACATAGCGAAGAAATTAGCGGATAGCAAAGCTGCGATCCAAAAATCTTTCTTGAAAGACCTTGCATATTCTCAAGCTTCTATGAAAATGCAATCAGAGATGAAAATTGATATTAAAAGAATTTCAAAAGTTGTTAGTGCTGTCAGAATTCCACTTCAAAAGAAAGATGATATGACGGAAACGTCCGTTAAAAGCGAGGTTGAAACAACAGGTACTGAAAAAGATGATAAGGCGCCACCTCCCAGTGTAACTGGAGAGAGCGCTGTTGATGAGGATGATATGGAACAACAAGTTAAAAGCTCTGTTGACGAAGACCATCAGTTAAAACAAGATGAAGAAAAACCAACAGATGAAGATAAAAAAATAGAGAAGGATCAAGAACAAGTAGCGAAAGAAGGTTCCGATTAATATTTTTATTTATTATTATTTTGAATGTTGTATTTTGCTATGACTATTTTTATACTTTATTTATTTTTTTAGCTTTTTTTAATAAATAACTTTATATACGATATCGTTCTTTAAAGACTAGCATTGGCTGCCTTACAAATGCGTTTAAGGAGAATGTATGTATATTAGTGTTATAGTTTATTTTTCTATTCTCACAGTGGATTGTATAAGATTTAAAAGCACGTTTTGTTCAAACAGTGTGCCTTGACACATTTTTCTTGAAAAATAATTATAAAATGATTCTGAAACGTTATAAATTAATTAATATAGAATAATATACCTGTGTTGCACTATATATACGACTAATTAACTTTTATAATTTTTTATATTTTAGTTCTTATGTTCTTTGAATTGGCTACACTTTAGAAACTTCTATCATTATAACATTTTAAACAAACAAGCAGGAGTTTCGGAAAGGTTTCATGAATAAAGGCCTTCTGATTATCAATTTAATAACTAAATAAGTTTTTAGTTTTTTACTTATAAATAAATGTAACACGCACGTATGATTTAATGGTTTTATTAAACAATAATTTATGCACGTTGTATGCTGTTTTATTTCAACCTGTTTTATTGGTAGCGTATTTAAAGCTTTTATTCTTTGTACTACAATCCATAATATAAATAAACTTTTCATGGTTACTTAACGCTGCATGATATTTGTCTCATGGTTTTCGGAATAAGTCACTCATTAAGATAAGCCCCTAGAATACCTAAGACTAGTCGGTTTACGTCGTACTAATAATTATTAGTAGGAAAAAGGAATCCGTTGAATAATTAAATGGCTATTTCATGAGCAGAACTCAGAATACAGAACAATTCTGAGGAGCAGAATCAGATCTTCGAATTTCATATTGACTATAGGAACTCTAAAATTGCATGCTTAAACTTAACTTCTTCGTAACAACTTTATTATTAAATTTACCTTTGCAAACCCTTAATTTGTGTGTAAACTAAATTATACGCTTTATCAATTCGAATATCATTCATGAAATTATATTTGTTAGAAAACTCTTTGCTCTAAAACCACAGAGGACTTTCTGTGTAAGAAATAGAAAAGGTGAAACTTGACATCGGTCAACTCTTTTATTTTCAATGCAGTACCGAAATATTGTGTTTTATTATTTAGTATATTAATATATTTTGGATATATTCTGCTAATCATGGCCCCTAAAAAGGATCCCAAAAAGAAAGTCCCCGAAGACACGAGAGGCGCATTTACTGAAGTTGAAAGAACTTTGTATGAATTACAACTAGCTGATTGCAATCGAAAAGTAGCTCGACTTCGACAAGCTGTAGATGAGTTTGAAATACGAAATGAAGAGTTGCAAAAGGCTTACGATAAACTTGACGAGGATAGAGCAGATATTATTGCTTACTTGAAAAAAACACTTAATGTTAAAACAGAAGAAAATAACGAACTTAAAGAAAAGGTGAAAGGTTTAGAGGAATTACGAGAGATTGAAACCAATCAATTTAAAGAGTCTGTCGATGAATTAAAAAAGAACTTTACCACTATGAAAGATCAGCTCACATCAGAAAATAAACTACTAGCTGGAAAACTTAACACTCTTGAAGAGTTTAGAGCTATTCGAGATGACCTCATGAGAAAGTTCGATAATCAAGAACGGTCTTTTGAAGAACAGGAAATAAAATACAAAAGAATGATATACGATGCTGAAAAAAAATTTATCATTGGAAAAGATAAATTAAAAAGGGAAATGGAAGAGCGGCTTTTACATTTAGCACAAGAATTCCAAGATGCTAGTGAAATGAGGATTGCCGCTTCTACTCACAGAGTCATCCGAGAAAATATTGCGTTAAATAATCAATTGGACAGTCTTTTAATGACTCAAGCAAAAGTTGCTGAGCAAAATGAAAAATTCAGAGAAGATGAGAGAGCTGCTCAGTGTGCTAGGGAAGTAGCTGAAGAAGAACGGGACAAAGCAATAAACAAAAGTATTATACAGTTGAAAGTTATTGATCAATTAACAACAGCATTTCAAGATGTAAAGAAACAAAAAGCTCTTTATGATAAAACACAATTTGATAATGAAAAACTTCAAATAAGAACGCAAAAGCTGACCAAAGAAAACGAAAGACTTTTACTGCGTGTGCGTATCCTTGAACAAAACTTGCATGCTACTATGGATGAACAAAATAAATCTATTGTAGAGGCTGCTAAAATACTAAGAGAACGTGAAAAGTACAAAAAGATTTTAAAAGAAGCAGCTTTTGCGGTTGAATCGGCATTAAAAGCAGACCATTGGTCTAAGTTGGATCCTACTCGAGAAATTGCTGATAGAGAAATAGTACTTAAAAATATTCTGGCAGTTATAAAACAATATCATGATGCTGCACGAGCGGAATCAGTGGAGTCATTAATATCGCTTAGCAATATTTATGATAAAGGTGATCTTGGTTTTGAGCCAAAACCAGCTCCGAGAAAATCATTGGCAACAGGCACTGGCATTGGAACAACATCATCGCTTCAATCATTTGAAGAAAAACATAGCGATGTGTCTGGTTCTTCCGCACCGTCATCTTCTATAGCGAGTATAAAAACAATACCAAGTATTTCACTATTACCAATCGAAGAAAACGATCAACTACCAAGTCTTCGAGAGAGTGTGCCGTCATTCACAGTGACGTCATTGCATTCTAGTCTAGAAAGTCAAGTTGAAGAAGAAGAAGACAAGGATGGTTTGGATGATATATCAAAGATGCTAGAAAAAAGTAAACTAGAAATGCAAAAATCTTTGATGCTTGATATGGCATACTCACAAATGTCTAAAATGTCTTTATCGCGAACAAAAGTTGAATCGAGAAGAAAGAGCGTATGTAGGACAAAAGTAGTACCGAGTCAATCAGGTGTTCTGGTAGATGCAGAAGGTAAAAAAGATAAGTCAGATGAAAAAGTAACTTTTGAAAAAGAGACTGGACAAGGAGAAACTGTAGAAGACGAAGAAAAAGAACCTGTAAAAGATACGAACGACGCCTCAGAAGGTAATGAGGAGCAAGTACAAGTACAAGAAGATGCAGATAAACCACCTGAAACTGAATCACCAGAGGCTGAAGATAAATTACCTGAAGAGAAAGAAAAGTCGGATGAAAATCAGAAAGCGGAATAGTTTTTTGTGTTTAAGTTGCTTGTTTTTTGTTCAGATTATATTGACTGTACGATATTATTATTTTTTATACGATGTATTCATTGATTGTTATGAGAAATAGGTAATTTTGATATTTAACGATTGTTTCCTTAACGTATGTACAAAAATATATAATATATACATCTTTACAGGGGGAATGATGTTTGTCATAGCGAGCTATAAATATCGTGAATAAATGTGTCGTAAACTATGTAGTTGTGAGTTGATGTATTTTTTTAATATTTTAGATACAATTAATTTACCATAATTTCTTGATTAAATGCAGTTTTCATAAAGTTTGTTTTTCTTTATGTAGATTATCGTTTCTCATCAATGTCTCAATATTCCTCAAATTATTGTTTGATTGTAAAGTATTAAACTTTAATCACACACATTTTATAATATTGAATATTTTTCAACTTTTAGATAGGAGAATATAACGATGTTTCTTTTTTCCAGGGTCAAGCAGTAGAGCTGGCAGCGTGTGAATGTGCAGCGCAGCCTTGGGCTGGAGACTCCTCGATGGTAGTGGCGGAAGTAGGTGCTAGGTGTCGATGTGGTTGTGTACTGCACCTAGCTCCCACTGCTAGACTGTTGGCCGGTTCTGCCAGAGCCTGTCCTGCCAGATCATTCTGGCTTTTAAGGGTAAGTTGTATGTTTTATAGAAAGGAGACATATACTACTTGGTTTTGTACTACAATTTCCAATAAAATCGTGAAGTTTATAAATGAAAAAATATTTATTTCTGCTTAAAAAAAGATGAAATATAAACCACGTTACGTATCTCAGTACAAAAATGTTCTGTAATAATTCTGTACACAGAAAACAAGCTCAATAACTCAAAAAATGTCTACTTCATCATTTTTCTTTAGAAGACCCTCGGGTATTTTCACAACGACGACTTGGCATCCACATTAAATAAACTTTTGTTTTAAAACTTCGTGTCAGCACTTCATTCTCAAAAATATCACGCTCCTGAAACTTTGGGAACTATGTACGTTTCAAGAGACTAGCAAGTTGTTTAGTTACACGCTAGGGTACGAAAATTATGATGGGCTTATATTAGGGAATTGTAAAATTGTTATAGTATTCAGAATGACTATGCGGTTGGCGAATAAAATGGCTGGGAAACAGACTGCATCGCAATGTGTTGTGGTTTCGATTACGCACAAGGCATGTTTATGTGTGATCCATCGGATAATATAGTCAACTCGAAAAACATTTTCGTCAATTCAAACATCGAACTCCAGATTCCTTACTCAACTGTCACACTTGGATCTATTTTTTATTTATTAAAAAAAACAAAATGTTGCCCCTCTCTAAGATTTTTCCCCTGTGATAATAATATGTCATTTCCAATGATGCAATCTTAATAAACAATTTGCATTATATACATAAGTAAACTCCTTTAATTATAATGTATGGAAATGTCCTACGAAGACCTCCACACATTATGAGGAAGTACCCTCATCCCCTCCGGTCACTGAACTATGATGTACAATCAAATGCCAAAACAAAGTTGTGTAAACCTGTCACTTGAATATATGACGGTCCATTACTACTTCCAAAGAGGTATAATACATAAATGTAAGGAGCGTTGACACTGGCTAGTTGGTTAGAATCGACAATAATTTGATTCCAACAAAACATATATGTATCTCAGCCATTAACTTTCAATACAAAAAAATATAATGACAGATTCCTCTTTTCCTTTTTTTCTTTAGGGGTTATATATACATTTCTAATTATAATTTTTCCATTGCAAACAAACTTCTGATTGAGCAGTTTTTTTTAAGTCGGGACTATCACCAATGCCATGGGACGACAAAAGCGAGAGTCTTACTGCCTAGCCAATGGACCACCTTAGACGGGGCCCTAAATAGGGCTGAATCAACCCTGGCTGATGTTCAGCCGGGGTTGCGGGTTAAGTGCAATGAGTAGCCGCGGTCTCGGCCCAGAGCAGGTGGAGGAACAGGGGATTTTTAGTCAGTAAGAGTCTGACACTCTCTCTAGCGTTACCATGGGCGGGAGAAGGCATTTGATGACTTTTCCCTGACAAAAAGAGACTCTTATTGCCCAAAAAAGCAAGCAGACATTACCTTTGCAAATATAAACAGATTTCGTCGAAGCTGATTAAAATATTACTCCATTAATTGTAACATATTTAAATCCTAATAACGTTCTAAACACAAACAATTGTAACTATGGATGGACGGAAAAAACATTATTTGTTTGTTATTCTTTCACATAAAGTCGACTAAATGAATTTTGGTGAAAATTGGCACTGATGTAGATTATAATTAAGAATAATACATAATGCTACTTTTCATACGAGTAACGCGGATGCAACCCAATGTAGCTAATAAATAAATAAAACTAGTTTTTTGCTAGTAGTTTAGTCTAGTATGAATAGTCCATCAACTTGCTGAATCAACTGCGTCCAGTGTAAACGAAGCATAGTTGAAATTGTATCGCTCGTGAAGTCATTAAAACTTCCATTTTGGTTGTAAGGTCGCTTTGCCAATAGGTTTAACAAACTAATATTGTTCCGTATACAGTTTACGCGACGTCCAAGTTACTGCTAACTGGTAATTAACTCACAATACGCCGGTTTAACGAAATTAGTGGTCAAGCTCTCTAAAAGTTAACTGTTGTGAAATATTGGTAGGCTCTATTAAAGTGGCATTTGTTGGGAGTGCGTCGAAATTGATTAATGAACTTCATGTTTGAATATACTTTATTATTCAATTGTATACAAATATCAATTTTGTATGCTATCTAAGCCAAGATCGTGATGACTGATGCGTCTTAATTCATATAACGAATGATTACTTGGGAGTTTCTCCGAAAAACCTTTATGTTTATGTAACAAGCGTTTAAGCGTCTTAGTAACATATTATCGCTATACATGTAAGTTAAAATCTTTAAAACTACGTAACGGATTTTGATGCGGTTTATTTTAATGAAAAGAGAGGGTTCGTGTTCGAAGCAAAATTTAGAATTCTGGTTTGAGCAAATATAATTTTAGTAAAATTGATGTTTAGTAATCACACACATTAAGTGTTACTTTTTGACCTAGTCTAACTACAATAGAAAAAAACATAACGACATAACGAATCCGAGATGGCAGGATCGCCATGTGAGGTTGGGATTTGGAGACAAGTAAAACCAATGAATGCTGATCTAATACTAAACGTTTATTAAAGGTTCTTCAGTATATAGGCTTACACACTAACATAATATGCACTTACATAATATGCACTTACATCACTACAATAAATTAAATAGCCTAAGAAATATCTATTGGCAGATAAGAATTCTGGCGAATATAAAAGAATGGTTTAAACTTGTTCATAAGCAAGTCAGGGTTATTTATACGAAATTATCCTTAAAATGGTGAATCTAAATTCTTTGCAAAGATTGTAGAAAGTTTTAATAGGTACTATTCAATGTTGAACAAAGGCTCCAGAAGAAAGTTCTAGAACTTGAATTCTTTTGAAAAAATCCGTATGCTGCTAAAGCAGAACATTCTATTTAGAATTTAAAAAAAGAATAAGATTTTGTTACTGTAATATTTTGTGTAGTCATGTTCGATCAGGAATTGTAATAGGTGCTAATGAGAAATGGAGATTGTACAAACTGAAATCGAGTTCAGAATAAAAAAAAATATTTTAAACTCATAGGAATATGATTTCCTTGATTTTAAAGATGTTATGTAAAACAAAACATCTGAACAAAAAAAGGCTTCTACCTTCCAAAAATCATTACTAAATGATTTTTGGAAGGTAGAAGCCTTTCTTAACTCCTATTATATGTATACAAATCATAGAATTTCATTAATCTGCTTTGGATAAAAACTTATTACAATAAATTAGCACAACACGATTCGCTCACCGTCGACTGTCGTGGTGGCCCAGATGTTAAGGCGCCTGCTTCTAGCATGAGGGTATAAGGTTTGAAACCTGGCAAGTAACAATGTGACTTTTTGCGCGTTATATATACTTTCTATGATTATATTAGACACCATTGACATACGGTGAAGGTAAACATCGTGAGGAAACCTGGACTAATAATTTTTAATTATAAGTTTGAAATCGCCAACCCGCATTGAGCAAGCGTGGTGATTAATGCTCAAACCTTCTCCACTTATAGACAGATGATATATTGTGTTTTTCTAACCTCAAAATTATCCCTACATCACCAAATAGTTTTGAAACTAAGGTATTGCAAATGAAGTCTTCATTTCGATAATTAATTGTTAATTAAATGCTTCGTCAGCAGCCGCGGCGTGACTATGTCAAAAGTAACTTGTTACCAACAAAACAACTTGTCGAGACAAGTTCAGATCGCCAGTTCCCAAGTATCAAGTAACTTCAATCAAAACTTTGGATAATCAAGATTTCACATCGAGTTTAGGTTTAGCGGTAATTTCTCAATTGGTTTTTGACTATTAAGGCTTTAAAGTGGCTTCTTTCTTTGGTTATTAAAATCTCTAGTCGTTTATGTAATAATTTAAAATCTAGAAGGAGAACGAGCGGTTTCGTCCCTTCAATGGGAAAGTTCAATGGAGCGCCCTTTCCACTAAACAGTAGACGTAATAACTACCAACGTGTCGCGGGTTCGATCCTTCCCTCGCGTAAAATTTTTGTATCATCTACTTGTTCATTGTTTTGAGTGTGAGTCTGATGTGTCTGCGAAATTGTGTGTTTGTATTTCGCACCTACGGCACGAGACAATCTAAGCGTCGGGCGATGTTTTAAAATATAAGAGAATTAATTTTCAAGCCACAACGGGATACTTTTTATGAACAGCGTGTGCGTCGCCGCGGCGTTCGTTATTTTTGTTTTCATTATGTTTCACGATAACTACTATTCCAAAAATTTGTATTAGAAGCAGTATTATAGTCAATGATGAAGACGTATTACTGATTCGGAGAAAACGCCACTCGGCCAATTTATTTCCCCTGGGCATTACATCTTTCAGCGAAACAGTTTTGGTAGGTTTCTATTGAACTTGATCCATTCTATTTCAATTAAAAGTTAATGTTTATTTACTGAAATCAATGTTTCAGTTACGTATCTATTGTTGTTTTATGAACTCGTTTCTACTTTCCTTCGTATTGTATTGTAAAGTTAAGTAAGAAGTTGTACGGGAGTAGCAACAACGGGATTTGCGTCAATTATAATTTGGAATGTGTGTGTGTTGTGTGTGGAATGTGTGATGAAAGTTCAGTTCATGAATTTGAAAGTTCAGTAAACCGTTAACTCCATTGCTTTACTATTATAAATACTGTTTAAGAATTGAAATTTAAGATTGAACTTTTGATTTTAATACGTTTATTGTTACACATTACTAAATATGCTACGGAACAAAGTTAAAATATATAATCAAACTAGCTGTTTTGGTTGATACTAAATTTCTTCACTCTTTAATGGATGTTATTAAACGATAATTAAACGTTCTTCTTCAATCATTCTGTCTATTACAGAAAACCGCATCAATTTTTTTTGCGTAGTTTTGTAGTTTGAAGCATATAAGAGTATATGTATATACAGTTGAATTGAGAACCGTCCTCCTTTTTGGAAGTCAGTTAAAAATGGGTATACTTAGGGAAAGAAAAAGCGACTTTGTTTTATACTATGTAGTTTCTGAAATGCTATTAAAGATTTTGACTACATTACATTTTTTTTTATTTCCCTAGGCTGAAGAGGGCCTGGTGGTCAGACTCCGTATGGAAGCGGTGCGTCTTCCATGCGCTGGACAGTCGCTGAGGGCAAGAGACGGTGACTCTTTAGGGTCGCCACTATTAGCTTCTTGGGATGGACCTGATAGTACGGCTGTGGTAAGTCAAGACTTTGCTTGTTCTTCAAAATTATATGCCTTTTTTTCGGACACGTTATGATTGTTGTTATTGTTAGCTTTTTTATGTGCGGCTTGTTTACCCAGTGTTTGGCCTGGTGGTAAACGATTCTGCAGTATACAACGCAGCTAAAATAATGTTTACATTATATAATTTTGACTGTCAATTTTATGTGGTTATAATCAACAAAGGTATTCTTTTTACAGTTATCCAAGCTTTTGATCGAAATTAGAAATAAAAAACACTGTAAATAAGTAACAAATCAACTGCTATTTCATCTTCTATTTCTCACAAGATTTCAAGCTGATACGTGTATAAGCAAATACATAAATTAAACATGATAATTTGCTAAAGACATCCTAATTAGGGATGCCATTCACAAACTTGTTAATAACAGTAATAATCTAATTAGAAATGTAGGTAAGTACTCAATTTCCCTAATTATGTCAGCTTGACATTTTCTTTCATCATTATAATATTATTTTCTCAGGTTCTCGGGTGGTAAAGAGAGCTTAGTATTAATATTATTTCGATTTTTGAAATGTAAATACTTTTCTATGAATTTTGTATGAGCTAGCAACACATGACATCATAATATTTTGACGTTAAATATGTATCATATTTATTTCAGGAAAATTAGGCAGAAAAAATATACAATTAAATTATGTAGTCAAATCTATATAGTAATTTTAATTTAATTTAAATTAAAACACAAATCAAACCTCTTCAGGGACGAAAAGGTGTATTGTCACGTTATTTTATGATTTTTAATTTCGATTACCAAAATAATTCACAAATATATCAAAAATATATGTATAACATAATTGACGAAAATTAAATGTAGTCATTACGTTTAAATCTAACAATGTCTTCTTTTTCAATCTAACAGACATCTGGTGACGTGGAGACCACGACAGATGGCAGTGGGGTCATGGAGATAGCTGGAGGTCGTCATATACTGGTGGAGCTACGTTCAGGAGATACCAGTGACCGTTGCGCTGGCGGATTCCTCGCTCATGCTACGCAAATAGGTGAGTATCAAGTTTTGTTTTAAAGTTATAAGTCTATTTTTTATGTGATAGAGTCGGCATGGAGTTTCTTGGTTCGTTCTTTTCCATTGGAATCTACACTTTGGAACGAGCAAATAGCTTCACTGAAGGACTGATCGGCAGACATGATACATTTTATCTTTAAGCGATCTTTATTTCTAATGTGACTTTTGGCAAACGAGCAGACGGTTACCTGACGGTAAGCAATCGCTGCCGCAATACAAAAGGAGTTGCCGTCCTTTAGAGGATTATGAATTTTTATCGATTACCGAAAGCATCATGGTTGATTTACCACCTCAGCACATTCGTGTCTCAGAATAGCTTTCTCACGAGTAAATCCAACGTCTCTCACAACTGATGGTAAGCAATCAGCGCCGCCTATGGACACCCGCAACACCAGAGAAAATGTAAGTGCGTTACTGGCATTTTGAGGATAAGGAGGTTTCGGGTTCTAAAGTATTCGGGAGGAAAGAGGAGGATAAATAATTGGGCATTGTAGGATATAATGATCTACAATGGTACTAATTGGATCGCATAGTGACGTATTGAAGCAAGAATCTTGAACGATATCATACATAGATATATCTGTCTATTAGATTAATTAACTCAATGCATTTACACAATATTAGAACACCTAATTTACAATAGTGATAATCAATTTACAACCCTATGTCTATTGGGATAAAGACAGTGTTTACTATAAGGTTGGACAATATTGGGCGCAATTTATGACAATAGTTAGTTAATTACATAATTATCTGTTTAATTCTGAAATTCATTAGTCATGTAGGTACGTATTATATAGCGAAGATCTAACTATACCTAATGGATTTGCTGTGTGCCTATATGTCACATGCTTAATTGAAAAGAAGCTTAGCTAAAAAAGAAAGGGTATTGAATCTTAAAAACTTTTGTTCCAACAATATGGTTCAATTTTGGAAATAACCTCGTTTATGAATTTGTTCTATAAGTGGAATAAACTTCTCATGCTGTTTGTAATATTTTTATCATTTTACTTCTATTACATTTAAAAGGATCAGAAACAAGTGATATGTGCCTTAAACATTTTCTTGCGAAACAATACGAATTACGAAAAAAGTAAGCAAAAATACCTGAAAGACAAAAGAAAACGAGACGACGTCTTTAAGAGCGATTTTTGTAACCACGATAACTTACTCAAGATCTATGTTCCTAAGCTAATGGCAAAAACCGAGCCCTTTATCGTAGATTTGTCATATATGTTATATGTCTGTCTGTCCACCCCGTTTTGTGATAGCTACTTTTTTCTGTAATCATAAAAACTTACGAAGATGTACTAATTTTTGTGAATCGCATTATGATTCTAAAATTCTTTTAGGGGTTCCTAATAATAAAACTGACACTAAAAAAGTGATAGTATTTTTTCCATTACAACTTACCTACTCGTAAAAATATTGAAGTTTGTAATATTCCAAAAAACAAAAACATGTATTTTTAGGACGAAATGAATAAAGTTTTATGTAGGTACATCGCCAAGCAAAATTAATTCCTATAATATTATAGTTAAACCAAAAGTATAAGATTAATATGAAGATAATTTTCTACTAGAACCGATCCGCAACGCATCAGCCGCATGGGCTTCAGTGAGTGGTGGCATGTGGTGGCGAGGTGGTGGTGGGGCGAGAGAAGCTGCTGTAGCCCTCGCAGCCGCTGCAGCGCTGGCCGCACTCTGCCTAGCGCTACATTCAGCGCACAGAACAAGGGCTTACCAGCGCGCCGCTGATAAGGAGTCGCTCACCGACAGTGACGGTGTGTTGTCTAGTTTTTTGAAATTAAAAAATGTTTTTAAAGGTTGTTTTAAATTAATCCAATTACATATAATACTTTATCTGTCATTTTATGACAATTCTAAAAACTATTATGAATGAAATGATTAGAAAATTAATCACCACACTTGCTTAAGGCGTTTCAAAACATAAAATTGGAAATTACTTGACTACGCTTCTTTGTCAGTAGCGTCTAAGTAAATTTAGAAAGTACACATAAGTCGTAGAAAGCAGCCTTGGCACTTTTCAGGTTTCAAACACGCACCATTATTCATGGGATGTTGACGGAGACAACGGGACACCACAACATATTTTTTATTAATTTAATAAATATTTATTGAAACATAATTATTATTTGCTTCTGTACAAAACTAATCTTAGCGTTATCTTCTAGCATGTTCAGCTTCACTGGAGCTGGGTGGAGCACCAACAGGGTCGCGCAGTACTCTTCTATCCGAGGTAGTCGGTGGTGGTGTCTCACTGCGGAGACTGCTACCTTCAGGGAAGACCAGGCACACGAGGCTCCGGGACTCTGATAGACATTCTGAAAACGTGGAACAGAGGTTAGTAAACTTTTGGCAAAACATGTGGATGAGCCAACACGTTTGGGCTGGCTCCACCGAAGTGATATCACTCGTGCGTGAAATAACCACAATATTGGTTAACGAGAGGTCAATCCTGCCCTCCCCTTATCTCCTTGCATTGTGCCAAAAGTAATGGTAACTCCTGGTATTGAGGAGTGATTGGGCGGTGCCAATTACATGCTTATCATCAGAGTATCCAACAGCTAGTTTGCCGACCTAAGAAGTCTGTTAATAAGCTATCCATTTCCTAATTCTCCTATAACAGATATAATTTTTTTCCATTCAGTAGATTAATCATGCAGTAGTACCTTAGGCAGATGCTAATTGGTTGAATTTGCGAATCTATTTTTAAAAATCCTAACCCTTCATTAAATACAACTCGAAATTCTAAAAGAGAACCCTTCAATGGAGGAGACGAAAGAATAATTAATTAACAAACACTTGACGCTTTGGAAGTGCGTTGTTAACTGTGAGCCCATTGTTGGAGCACGTATCGCGATATACAAATAAATGATGCTGGTACCGTTGTCTTCGTACTTTAGGAGTTGATTGGTACAATTGTTAGTGATTATTTTGGGACTTAAGGTTTTTTTTAAAGGAGCGTAGATTTCCTAACGAGAGGAACGATTCTATATCAGTGATATCGACGGACTGATTATTTTAAACTCAGGGTAACATATTATCGGGTTCAACACGGAACAATACTTTGTTTGATTCACAAATTGTTGTTTCGGGTCTGGATGGCTTGTGCATGTACATTTGTATGTTTTTAAACGCACCCATGACACAGGAGAAAATTTTAGTACGGCAAAGTCTTCTTCATATAAAGAGAAACTTCGTAAATTTCAACACAGGGATGAAGAGGATCCTGGGACTGATATTGAAGCAGAACCAGACAACACAAGCGTGGCGAGCGCAGAAAGTGTTGCCAGTCAAGCGACGGTCACCCCTGAGACTGTGTCGTCTAGCAGCGCACCTGTCACTGGCAACATTCCACCTTCACCCCTTCGAAGATCTCATACGGTGTCTGTGACAAACGTCTCACAAACACAAGCGCCACAAGTAGGTTTTACCAAATTTAGTATGAACAGACATTTTAATTATGTCAGAATTTTTTGATATTTTTTATACTTGTTCATCTAGTGTCTGTTGACTAATAAAGCCTCCCATTTAGGTTACTTCACCACCCCAGTCAACAACCGATTCGTTGGTGGTTGAAATGAGTACCAGCGTGAGCAGCGTGAGTGAAAGAGACAGCTGTAGCGAGAAAGATAGAGACAGCTGCATATGGGACAAGGATAGAAGCGAGAGCAGAGCATCATCATCAACGTCTGCAGCAACACTAACTAACGTGAGTGGTAGTGTGTTGTTTATGTTCAAGGTAGTTCCTTGGGCTGCAATGGCGGAGAAAATAAGACACGTGTTACTTGTCCGAATACCTTTAATGAAGTGTTTAATATTATAATATCTTCCGCTACTTATAGAGAGATGTGTGACACGCATTACAGAGCAGTTTCTACTTCACAGTGATTAACTTTTTTCTATTCAAAAACAATTACACTTTTATTTATGTTGTCATTTTTCGTATCCCTCGGGTTCAGACACCGCTAAACTATATTTTCGAGTTACATAAAGTATTACTTTATTATTTTCCTGTGCTAATTGATATTTAAATGATACGAGCTGCTAGTAACCAAATTTATACTTTTAAGAAGATAATTATGTAGTTTTAGAATAGTTTTTTCCCTGACCTCATTGTAGTTTTTAACACGTAAATGTATTTTTTTCTTTCTGTTCACTCCAGGGGTGGTATTCGCCAGCTCTTAGCGGCGTGTCCGCAGCGAGGATCAGAGACAACCCGAAGCATACCAAAGAATCTTGCAACCGTCGTCTATTGAGGTCAGACCTCAGCCTGACCTCACACCCGGAGATGGAAATCGACTATTATGACTACGAAGTTAATAACGCTGGTAAGGTTTTCACAATATACTGACTTGACTGAATTGATAGGACTCTACGTTTACTTGACCTTACTATAGTCAAATTGGTCAAAGTAGAATAATAATATATCTGTCAGCTGACGACGGATCCGTCAAAGTTAAAACAGGCACAATCGAGTCAGTCAAAGCCGAGGCGAAAAGGCGTATCTGCCACTGTCAGTTTATATGTCGTATGAGATAACAAAGGGTCTGTCAAAGTGTATTGTGTTAGATAACAATCGATATAAGTTCATTCTGTAGATAATCGTTCAAAGACAAATAGCAAAATCGAGTTAATTAAAATATTATTATTATCTATGAAAGTTGACTCCGTCAGAGTCAATGTAGGCTCTCTTCATGAGAAGTTTAACTAGCAACGGCAAACCGCACCATTTGACTCCTCCAACATTATTATTCCTTAAACGTAATTTAAAAGAAACTGAATTGGCATTTGTTGCAGGTTCAGTTCCTGGTTCGTATTTGGGAATGGATCCAGCTTTCCTAGTATGGATTCCACCGCTTGAAGAAGGCGACATCCTGAAGGAGATTGATGAAAACAAAGTGCCAATATATGAGGTAGGCATTGGGATCACTTCCTAGAATAAAAAAAACCTAGACCTAACATAATTTATTTTTTTTACTTTTGTATTTATTTCTAGGAAATTTTACCAAAGGATCTTCATCCTGACCCCGGCAGCAACACAGAGTCACCTGAAGATAGACCGTCATCAAGTACTCTCAAGAGGAACCCTGATAACCGCATCAACAGATCGAACGAGTCCATCAAATCATTTCGCAAAGTCATCGAAAAGGGAAACATAATACACCCGCTGAATTTCAGCATAAGCGATTTGCAAAACTCGCCCAAAATGACAAAAAGGAATAAGAAAAAGAAAGCTGAAAGTCCTGTGACGATACAAATGAAGGATTTGACGCTAACGCGATCTCCAGTAAGAGTGCACAGAAAAGAAAATCGAAGCGACTACGATACGTCGACATTAAAAAGGGTAAATGAGGCCAAAGAAAAAGATTCTGCTACTCTAAAAAGGAATGATTTCTCAGATTTAAAATTCGCCGACGAAAATTCTGATTCGTCAAGTGAAATTAAATTTGCCGATGATTCACCAGATAGCAATAGGATTGTTGATAAATATAATGTTAAAACTTAATTAGGATACATCGTTGGAACCCGATACATAGAAACCACATTTAGGAATTATTTAAAAAATTGTATTATATTACCCCATTTCGAAATTATGAACATTTTTAAAAGATTTCTTGGAATATTTATTTGAATAGGATATGAAATAATTTTAAATATCATGCTACACTTTACAATAATATTTCTCAGCAAAGCTAATTACAAATAATCACAGATGCAAAAGTGAGCTAATAAAGTAAATTTTGTACGTCAAGGGGTAATAACATTTTAATTTGATTACAAACATTTCCATTTTCCGTTAGTTGAGTGTAAGGACCAATCTGTGAATAAATCCGACATATTTTAGCTCTCATATCATCAAAATAATATTTTTCAATGTCATTGTACTATTTGTCATTGATGTAAGTTAGTCACACATTAATAATTAGTCATAGAATTTTATAATCAAGCTAATCGTTAATAGTACTGTAGAATTCACTTGGCCCTCACTTAAATCATAGGTAATGAAGATATTGCTTGAGGTATAGAAAAAGATTACAAAAGACCAAATATGTCCAACATATCTTGTACTTTTTGGTCCTTTGGTCCGAATGTTAACATTCGCTAAACGGCAAGCATTATTTTTCTAAATTTTAAGTAACTTGATGTTTCTTGCATTGTAAATACTCATAGCATTTTCTGATTGTTCTCACATAATATTTATTTAGTTTTATTATCTATAAAGACATCGCTGTGCCCACGCTGCCAAAGAGTAGTTTATTTAATATCCTAAGTTTCAGTCAATAATTTTAATATTTATTAGAAGACTGACTTTCGGGCAGTGCAATAATTTGTATTCGAAAGTAATCGACTATTATAAAACTTCTAGTCATTTTGTTAAAGAAGCGATGAATAAAATAACTTTTATTTTGCTATTTAAGTATCTCAAGAATTCTTCGACGAGTTTTAAATTACTCTTTCTTGGTACGAAGTAATCTGAAGGATATAATTATGAGCGAATTAATGTAAAAGCAGAAAAACATTATCCGTTTTTATTATAAAGTACCGGATTGTAGGCTTAATTTATGTATTTGCATTTATTTATTAAAATGTAAGTAGCAATAAGCATTGTTTTTAATATTATTTGTATTATAGGTTTGTAAGTTCTTAAATAGAACGAGTTGTTTTAATGTTTTATTTGTGGAAGCTCGATTAAAGACATTTTATTTTGTAATTTGATATTGTTCTTTCATTTTCGTCTTAAGAAGTGCCTTGTCTTATCCATCGTTTTAGAAATAAAACCGTTGGAGATTAGCTGAAAAAAAAAACATGAACCACATAGGTACTTGTATTTAGTTACATCGTAAGTTAACCGAAGGACCAACTTTCAGGAACTTGTTACAGTCGACAAAACCTTCCAAGTTTTACAAAGTAACTTGGACCACACTATGTAGGAGCAGTTGTTCTTATGTAGTAAACAGATACAAAATATAGCCTTTACGTACTTGGACTTAGTAAAAATATGTTAGATACATTCGTAAATAACCAAAGGCCAAATGTAATACGTTAAATGGAATAGCATAACTGATTCTGTTTTAAAAGATCATATAGGAATATTATGGAATTTGAGAATGACAAGGTCGAAATAGATTGAAGAAAATATTTAGCTGTAACGAATAAAATACGTTACATACAGAAATTAATAAGACTTTCTTTTTTTATGGTAGAGGTCGGTAAAAGACGGATTACTCACCTGACGGTAAGCAATCAGCGCCGCCCATGGACACTTGCAACACCTAGGGAGTTGCAAGTGAGTTATCGGCCTTTTAGAGATGAGGGTTTTGAATATTTTAGGAATTGGGAAGGGATGGGGAATAACCTCACTCACATGGCGAAACACAGCGCTGTAGTTATATTTCACGCCGGTTTCCTATGAGGCTGTGATATCACTCCGGCCGAGCCGGCCCATTCGGGCCGAAGCTTAGCCCTTTCACATTTCTGAAGCCTGTTGTAAGCAATCGGGGCCGCCCATTGACATACATACCGCAACATTAGAACAGATACAAGAGCTTTGCCGGCCTTTGGGGGATAATGATTTCGTCGAATTAAGTATTAGGAATAGGTGGGATGGATTGGGCCTCCGGTAATCTCAACCACTCGAAGAAATAGAACGCTGTGGCTGATTCACGCTGGTTGCCTATGAAGCCGTAACTATCAGTCAAGTCATGCCGACCAATTCGTGCCGGAGCATGGTACCTCCACACCGACCATGCGATTGCTAAGTATATAAAAAAATAAAAATGGTAAATTAATTTTCTTACTTGGTAGTCATTTAAATCCGTACCTATGTATGATTATTTTAATTACATTACAGCTACTGACAAAATCGGACTTTGTGCTAAGTTTATAGATGAAAATCCAATAAATAGAAGGATATTTGTGTCACACGGATTACTGCACGCTATTTTCATCTAGACTAAAAGGCAGGAATTTAATATCTCCGTGATAGGACAGCGAGCAATTAGGTTGAATGCCTCTCCCGCTATGTGTGCCAAGCATGATGGTTTTACTAAATTATGTAATAGGGACAAGCGCGCGTTAGACGCTAGATACCGGATAATCAGTCAGCTCTTTTTATTTTATCTTTTATCTTTAATTTTAGGGGCTTTTCGCTCTAAAACATGTCAGTCCCATTAGGACATTTTTACCCACTTACATATTATAAAGAGGTATTTGTAAGTTTGTATGTAGGGGGTAATCATTGGAACCGCTGGTCGGATTGCCAAAATCATTCCACTGATAGATAACTACAATGTTCCTTAGTGCTACAGGCTATAAAAAATCTCCATCGATGAAATGGAGCCGAGCAGCGATTGAAACCGCGCGAAAGCAGCTAGTCTACAATATTAAAGTCTCAAAGTCTCACTGATGCATGAATATCTTAAACAAGACAATACCTGCAGAAGAAGTTGGATTTGAGAGAATAGTTGTAGTTTTTACAACATATTGCGTTGTAACATAGTGCGCATTCAACAAATTATAAGTATAGCATAATCAGATAAAAAGTAAAACAATTAAAATCCTATTGCAGTACTCGTACACTATCCAATATTTAAACAACTATACGATACAAGAATAGTAACAGTTCTAGCAAAGCAACTACTCTTGCACAGACTTAGTATTGATCTAAATTTAGTTAGGAATTAGTCAAAGAAAGTTTGCCTATCCGAATCCAAAATACCTCACGATCAAGCTTCGAGCTCCCAAACCAGTAACCCCTGGACATTAAACAGCAAATACCAACTCTATCCAGTGTAGAAAAAACACACTGATTTTAAAATCCTCCATTTCATTTTTAATTAGAACGTCCTCGTAGTCTCTGAGTCAATTAATTGAATTCTTTAGAAGTTGGGACGCAGAAAAATAAATCTTTAAAGAAAGGAGCGTTCTTACAATCGGAAGAAACAAGAGTAACTTTCTTAACTGCATTCGTAAACAGGAAAACAATAAAGATTACTTTAGCAACGTCTTGTTACTGTTAACTTGTAAGTAGTTAGCTGTTTACACGAGATGTTAATTTAGTTGGGATCTCTGGGGATCGGAGACGAGTTCTGTTTCCACTCTAAGTGGAATTTTGTGCCAATGTTGTGGCTAGTTTTATCGTAATTACTTTGCAAGATGCCCTACGAGTTTGTGGGAAATCTTATCCAGATGCTCAATGAAATTTATTCATTGTTTATTTACTTATTGAAAGAAAAGATTTCTGGTATTTCAATTTATATCCATAGGGTACAAAACATTAGGTAATATTTTAAAATTTATAAATTACTAGATTTTGCCCGCAGCTTCGCTCGCGTTAAAAATATTATTATTAATAAGGTATAGTTTTAAATTAACTATATCATTCTTTAATTTCAGCTCAATCAGTCGAAAATCTAAGAAGATGTATACAAACTTTCATTCCCTATTTTATCCCCTTAGAGGTGGAATTTATCAAAATCAGTTCATGTAGGCATCCAGTATAACATAGGTACGCATAACGTAGGCATTATAGTATCTTTATGCTTGCAAGTTCTCAGCCCGATCGGTTTAAAACTGACAAAGTTTCATACAAAGTTTCACCCCCTTTTTTATGCCCTTGGGGGTAAAATTAATCAAAATCCTTTCTTAGCGAATACCTACGTCATAACATCTACCTGCATGCCAAATTTCAGTCCGATCCGTCCAGTGGTTTGGGCTGTGCGTTGATAGATCACTATATCAGTCACCTTTGAGTTTTATATATTTAGATAGATTGAAGATTGGTATAGATATCAGGACGCACATTTCTTCTTGCACAGTGCCTAATAAACGGGCCATCAATTTGAAAGCGAAAACCACGAATCTATCTCAAAATTGAAACTATTCAGAATTATTGTAGTTACAAATGTGTACAGTACATCAGAAATTCAGTTGGCTAATAGGAAATCAGATATTCTGTTTGTGCCAAACAATGCCAAAAGCCCAAATGTGACTAAGATCTTAACATCCAATGTATGATACAAAAACTACTTTTTCTTGATCATGTAATACAGAACCAACGCTATTCCACATTACAGCTATTAATCTAACGAGGCATTCACGTGGAACGATTTCCTTATAACCTACTGTTTAATTTACTCAACCCAAACTCAACGAGCCGACATCAATCCTAACCCTTTCAAGGTCCAGTTCCCGTTGCATGTGGGTCAAAACGTTCCAATCTGTAACTCGAGCGGTACAAAACAGTCCACTTAGTACCATGCTATACAGCCTGCTTGGTCGTCAAGGGATCAGTACCCAATTAGCTTCGTGAAATTGCCTTCGTTGCCCAACCCTGAGTTTAAATAAGTTAAGCTTCGTGTTAAATGTTCATCGACCCATCACGTCGATAATGTAGTAGTTCGGACGTGATATTGCCTTTGATAGGATTGGATGCTAATATTTTGGGCTACTGAATATCGGATAGTGTTATATGGAGTTCTTCTTCAAATAACTTCTACGTTGAGGTAAATACTGAACCTAGTCTACGTGACACATCGAGGTCTACTTAAAACAAAGGTACGTAGTGGTGGCCCGGAGGTTAAGGCTTCC